CTGCTCCTGGTGCACCCCGTATGCTCTGTGGGGGCCCCGGGATGCTGGGCCCCTCTGCCCGTTTTTTGGCTTAAAGTTCCTTCCAGGGGTCGGCCAGAAATATCTTGCACTGAGCGACACACATTAGCCCAGTGATTCCCCTTCCCACATCTCGGGCATAGCCCAGGCTGAGGAGGAGGACGAGTGGGCTCTCTTTGGCAGCAGTCTCTTTTAAAGTGCCCCGGTTTACCGCATCTGAAGCATATCTGATCCCGCCCTTTAAACCCCTTCTCCTGTTTCATAGCATTCATTATCACTTTAGCCTGTCCTGTTGCCTGTAAAACTCCAGCTGTAACTTGATCATGGACATCTCTACAGATTTTAACCCATGTATCCAAGTCCTTATGCTTCCAAGGGCGTATGGTTTCACGACACCATTTATTAGCATTTTCATAGGTCAATTGCTTCATTAGTGGCATAGCTTGTTCTACATCAGGAAACAATTTCGATGCAACCTCCATGAGGCGGCTCACAAAGTCCTCATAGAGCTCATTAGGCCCTTGGGTCACTTTAGATATGGAAAAGTGCAAATCGCTTTTGCTATGAAGGGCCCTCCAAGCATTACGCCCTATAGTGGCTATCTGGGCATAAACAGGCTCGGGGTAATCTATTTGGTTTTCCTGTCCCGCTCGAGCACCTTCCCCAAGAAGTATGTCTATGTCCCATGCAGGATTGCCTGCTTGGGCATTACGGCGCACAGTGTCTAATGCTAACTCGTGGCAGGCTGACTGCCAGACCAAATACTGTCCAGGGGACAGGGTGGCTTTAGCTAAATTTTTCCAATCATCAGGGGTCAATGCTGAGCCTGCTATCTGTTCCAGCACCGTGAGGGTGAAGGGGGCATGAACACCATAGGAATCAACAGCAGTCTTCAAATCTTTAATTAACTTGAAATCAAGTGAGACCCAGGAACGACCTGGGGGATTTTGTGTTCTATCCTCTGTAACTGGAAACACTTGGCCTGCCTCGGCAAAATTGCGCCATGAACTTGCACCCCAAGGCGGGGGAGGGAGGACATACTCGATCTCCCTTTCGCTCCTGGCATTGCCAGGGCGGCACAGTTGGCGTGAGTGAAGGGGTCTCCCGGAGGGGGAACCGGCTGCCAGATAGACCTTTTTGATTGCATTGAAGTGGTCTCTAGTTTCTGCGCGAGTTCGTCAATATCTTCACCAGAGACCCCCGCCTGACTGCCTGAGTCTGAGTATTCTTCACTGCTACCTCCGCCTTTTAAGGGAGCTTCTTCCTGCATTGAAGAAGTTAAATTGCCCATGTTTCTAACACCTCTGATCATTGCTAACCTGTGAACTTTACTGATCGTTAAATCATGAAATTGACCGGTCGTTAACCACAAATTTGAATGGGCCGTAAACACGATCGAATCGAGAATGGGCGGTAAATGCGATCATAAGTGAACCTAAATGAATCTGAATGGTCGCTAGACCCCAGCTTTAATGGTCGCTACCCCGCGAACTTGACGTGCACGTCCCTGCCTAGTGTGACTTCCTGAGCAAAAGCTCAGTTGTAAACTAATTCCCACTGTAAGCGGCTCCCTGAGCACCCCGCGGAAGAAATCACCCGACACTTGAGAGTCTCTGAGGTGCTTTATTCCGATCTTCCGTTGTGAACCGTTATGACCATTAATTCCATTATGCTCCAGCCCCTCCCCTGTTATCTGTCAAACTTACCCAATCAGCTTAAAATTCACCAAGGCAGACCAATCAGGGCAAAGGGCCAATCACAGGGCAGGAAATGGTCAATGCTCCCAACAGGTTGGGCTGAGCTAGACTGCAGCACCCATTGATATGTACAAGAACTGAAAGGGTCATAGGATCTAATGGGCCAGTTGTGGGCATGCACCGGAACCAAGGCCTGGAGCAGGCCTGGTGGGGGTTATTGGGAGGTCACTCCAACTAGGCTGCAGTCCCACTGGTGGACATGAGATCTGAGTGTGTGGTGGGCAGTGTTGGGCTGGGCTATAGAATCTGTTGGTTTATGTAAGAGATGGGGCTGTAGACAGAACTGACCCAGTAGCTGCAACCACCAGTGTGTCTGTAGGCTGATGTGGGTGACCAATTGAGCCGGACCCTGCACTGGCTGGCAAACACGGGAGTCAGGTCTAGAGTCACCTCTGGCGATGTTTCTTTGGAGACCCCCACAATTGGACCACTGGACTCAGAACTCCAACCACAAGGAAAATCACAGGATCTGTGGGCTGCCTGTGGAGTGCATGTGTCAGAACTAGCCTCCTCAGTTGCTGAAGACAGTACAGTCAACGGCATGTCCAGATGCACATGAGGGACATGACAGGTCATTGAGGTCTGCAGAGGACGTCTAGGCCCAATTTTAGAGGAGGGAAGGCAGAACAAATTAGAGAACTATCCCACCAAGCGTTGATAGCAAGTGTCTGGATGAATGGAGACTCTAAAGTGGATTCTCAGCCAAAGGACCTTGGAAGGATCTCCTCATCCTTGGAGCAATGAAATCATCAGCATCTGAGAACTATCAACATCCCTTTAACAGTACTCTCAGAACATGCTCCACACTGGGGACCCTGGAATGATATTGTGTCACTGTCCAGCATCCCTGGGCACTGATGCAGTTAGGATGCTGGGAGCTGCCCTCTCTCTTCTCTCTCCCTTCCCCCAGATGCAGGAAGAAGAAAAAGGAAATTGGAAACAATGGTCTCATTCACTTTCCCCTTTTTCTCAACCCTTCCCACCTAATCAGTAGTCCACATGGGGTATGCATTCTTAACTATGTAAACATCATCAAAAATAAAAATTAAGAAAATAAAACAAAGCTGGATTTTCCTTGCAGATAGCTCACCCTACATAGTATTCATGCAGTGTCTACACAAGCAGTTCTTTCAAAAGCTTTCTTTTTCCTTCTCACTACATCTTCCCCCTTTCTTTTTGTTAAGATCCACTTTTTTTTTAAAGATTTATTTTTATTAGGATGGCGGATATACAGAGAGGAGAGACAGAGGAAAATCTTCCGTCCGATGATTCACTCCCCAGGTGGCCGCAATGGCTGGAGCTGAGCCAATCTGAAGCCAGGAGCCTCTTCAGGGTCTCCCATGCGGGTGGAGGGTCCCAAAGCTTTGGGCCGTCCTCGACTGCTTTCCCAGGCCACAAGCAGGGAGCTGGATGGGAAGTGGGGCTGCCGGGATTAGAACCGGCGCCCATATGGGATCCCAGGCTTGCAAGGTGAGGACCTTAATCACTGTGCTATCGCACCAGGCCCAGATCCACTTGTTTTAAATTGAAAGGCAGAGCTACAGGGAGGGGGAGAGAGAATAGAGAGAGAGCAAGAGAATGAGCTTCCACCTACAAAGGTTGGCACTGAGCTGACATGAAACCAGGAGCCAGGAGGTCCCTCTGGGGCTGACAGATGGGTCTAGGGGCCCAAGGCCTTGAGCCACTCTCCATTGCTTCCCCAGGCCATCAACAGAGCTGGATGAGAAGCAGAGACAATGTCCCTTTTTCCTAAATCATCCAAACTAGTGAAGGACAGGAACAGAAAAGGAAATATTCTTTCATGATGGTTTATTCTATTTCACCACCCGAAATGCCAGCATCTCTGCTACTCCACTTTGAATCCAGCTCCCTGCTAAGGCACCTTGGAGAGCACCAGATGAAGGCCTGATGATCCGTCCCTTCTACGCAGGGAACTTCCTGTTGTCCTGGAGACTCTCCTGCAGCCTGCCCCTTCTGGGTCACCAGCCGGTTCCTCCTGGGCTGAAGGTGTCTTCCTCTTGGGAGAAAGTGCATGCCGCCATATGGCCCCGCCTGACCAACCACTGCTTGGGAAAGCTGTTCTTTTCCCTGGGTTTGGGTAAAGAGATGTGGGTCTTTCACTCTTCTCCTGTGGAACCTGCTGGGACTTTTGCTTTCTCTTCTTTGGGGGTTTCTTGCATTTCTTTACCACTGGACACCTCCTTGCATTTCTTTACCTCCTGGACACTGCTGTTTTCTGAAGGTGCCAGGTGCACCTTTTCCTCTTTTTGGCATCTCTCATGTTTCTCCAGCTTACTGGTGGTCTCTGTGGCTGCCTTCTCCATCTGAGCTATGGCTTCTCTTTCTGACATTCAGATTGTTTTGTTCAAAGATTTGTCTGTCATGATGCCTCAGTGGCTAAATCCTCACCTTGCAATCAATGGGATCCCATATGGATGTCAGTTCATATCCCAGCTGCTCCATTTCCCATCCAGCTACCTGCTTATGGTCTGAGAAAACAGTAGAGGATGGCTCAAAGCCTTGGGAAGCTGTACTCATGTGAGAGACTCAGAAGAAGCTCCTGACTCCTGATTTGTGGCCACCCGAGAGTGAACCAGCAGATGGAAAATCTTTCTGTAAATCTGCTTTTCCAATAAAAAATGTTTTTTCAAAAAGGGTTCAATAATTTAACTTGAAAGTTGGAGTTAGACAGAGAGCTCTTCCATTTACTGGTTCACTTCCCAAATGATCACAGTAGCCAGGGCTGAGCTGATCTGAAGCCAGGAGGCAGGAGCTTCTTCTGGGTCTGCCATACGGGTGGTAGGTTCCAAAGGCTTGAGCTGTCCTTCACTGCCCTCCTAGTCACATTTGCAGGGAACTGGATTGGGAGTAGAAAATCCAGGACTTGAACAAAAACTGAGCGCCCATATGAGACACTTGTGCTATAGGTAGAAGCCTAAACCACTACACCGTGGTGTCTATCCAACATGCAGTTTCTCCAGTGGGACCTCTCCCATTTCATAGAATGGCTGCCCCTTGTCTTGTTCCCAGTTCTTCTCCCCAAGTATGCTGGTGGATACTCCTAGGGAAGTCACTGCATTTGTTTGCCAGGTTACCAACAGGTGCAGCCTTGTTCTGGGCAGCTCCAGGCCAATGAAGGGGGGTAGTGGGAAGTGAACCTGGGTTTTGGTGAATTACCGCTATCTTCCTGGTTGTAGAAACTTAGCTACTTTGCTGGGGCATGGGACTCACTTGGATACCAGGGCTGGCTCTCACCCCATGGCAGTCACCCAGATAGGTACAAAAGCCCTGATCAGCCATCCCTGCAAACTCACGTTTTGCTTTTCATTTTTCTAGTAATAACTGTTGATTTGCAATTTAAATATATGAGTACTTCCAAAGTTCCATGCAAATGGAATAAAAGGCAGGTTTACTTTTGTGTGGATTTTAAAATCTCTATGTATGGGAGTCTTCAAAAATTTCATGAGAAAAGCATATTACAAAACAACTTCACATAAATTTCCAATTTTTTGTGTGCCACAATAAACATCCTTAAGATTTGCTTTACTTACTTGAAAGGCAGAATAACAGAGAAGAGACAGAGCATTTCCAGTCACTGGTTCAGTCCAAGAAAGTCTGCACCATTCAGGGCTGGACCACAGGGCGGCAGGGGCTGAAGTGCGTGGGCCGTCCTAGGCTGCTTTCCCAGGGCTGTGAGTCAAGAGCCGACTGGAAGCAGAGCAGCCAGGACTCACGTCAGCTCTACCAAATGGGATGCCTGTGTCATAAGAGGCAGTTAACCCACTATGCCGCAGCATTGGCCTCTGAAACTTCTTTTAATCCCATTTTCCACAAATGTTCTGAAGTGCCCTCATATGTCTTCAGTGAAGTATCTTTTTTTGGAGGTATCTTTGGAGAAATGTCTATTCAAATATTTTGCCCGTTTTTGAAATTCAAAGAACCAAAGAAGGTTCCTTTTACTATCTAGTTATAGGAGTTCTTTATATATTGTGGGAAACAAGTTGTCTACCAGATATATGATCTGCAAATATTTTTACACTCAGTGATTTTTCTTTCCTTGATGTCTTTTGAAGCACAAATATTTTTTTAAAAAGATTTATTTTTATTGGAAAGGCGGATATACAGAGAGGAGAAACAGAGAGGAAGATCTTCCGTCCGATGATTCACTCCCCAAGTGAGCGCAACGGGTCGATGCTATGCCGATCCGAAGCCAGGAGCCTCTTCCGGGTCTCCCACGCGGGTGCAGGGTCCCAAAGCTTTGGGCTGTCCTGACTGCTTTCCCAGGCCACAAGCAGGGAGCTGGAAGGGAAGCAGGGCTGCCGGGATCAGAACCGGCGCCCATATGGGATCCCGGGCGTGCAAGGTGAGGACCTTAACCACTGCGCCACTGTGCTGGGCCCACAAATATTTTGAAGTCTAACATTTTTTTCTTTTTTCTCACTTGTGTTTTTGCTGTCACATGTAAGAGACCACTGCCTAATCCAAACTTATGAATATTTATGCTTATATTTTCTTCTAAAAGAATTGAATCCTAGCTATATATTTAGGTTTATGATCCCTTTGAACTCTCATTTGTAGGGGTAGAGATCATCTTTGGGAAAAAATTATTTTGAAAGGCAGATGTTAGTAGAAACTGAGAGAGAATCTTTCATTCCACTAGGCCACGCCCTGAATGGCTACAGTGATCAGGGCCAGGCCAAAGGTAGGAGCCTGGAAATCCTTCAGGGTCTCCCATGTCGGTGCACAAGAAATTAGGCCAACTTCTGCTGTTGGCAACGTTTGCGTCGCCACGTACCCCAAGCCCCGAGTCGAGTGGAGGGACTAGGGTTATGAGACAGACAAGACAGACAACACACAACACACTGAGATTTATTCCTGTGAAGTGAAGGCCTTTATTCAAAGTCGAACTCTCTTATATAGTCTGCTTGGCCCCTCCCAGGATCTTCCCAATGGTCAAGCAACCCCTAAGCTCCCCCAAGGACATGCAAAAAGGGGAAGCAGGAAGGAGGGAAATTTCAGTCAGGAGGTGCAAAAATGGGAAGCAGGAAGGAGGGAAATTGCAGTCAAGCCACGGGCTAAATGTATCAGGCCATGATTGCCCTTCCTGTTACACCTTTGAGAAACAAGCTGTGCTGTGGAGTTAACCCTTGGGAGACCCGGCCGTGCATGTCCCCCTTTTTTTGTTTTTAATGGACACCTGTCTTAGGTTGGTCATCAGCTCTGCCAGATCTTACCCGTCTCTGGCTGCCCATTACACATCGTGCTCAACCGGAATTGAGCTCTAGGATTTTCCACAGCTAAAGTCATCATAGTTTGTCAAATGATGACCTGCTCCGGGGCTTGTTGCCTGCATAGGTGGCAAAGAGGAGTAAACAGTACTGCAATCATGGCTGTAGCCATCAGCCCCATGGCTAAGATTCCGCTCCATTCCTTTAACATCCCTGCTCTCAGTTAAATGCCATTTCACGGGGGTAACACATATATGATGTCAAATTGAGGGAGTAGCTGGAGATCTGCATTTCCCATGGGCAGGATACCAGGAAGTTGCACCACTGCTGTCAGGGTCTCCTCCTCTTAATGGCTTTTATCCTGCAAGAACATCATTCGGAGTGGGATCATGCTGAGTTGGAGCCAAGGAGATTTGTCGTGTAAGTCTCTCGGGAACCCATCACGGCATTTCTTCATCCTGAGGAAAAACACAAACGGAGCCTCGCCCCCATGTTAGTACTGGATCTGGTCCCCGCCATTTATTTGTGGCCAGATCTTTCCATTTTACTTGGCCTTTATTCTCATTAGCAGAGCGTAGCCAATGGTGCTCTGCAGGAACTACATCATTGGTGACAGTTAAAAAATTTAACACATAGATGGCGGATGCCAGTAGGGAATGGGGAGAGCTGCAATGTTCGGCCACATCCCCTTTCTTTATTTTTTCTAGATAAACTTTAAGGGTGCGATTGGCACGTTCAACAATGGCTTGACCCTGAGGATTGTAAGGGATGCCTGTTTTGTGAGTTATATTAAAATCTTTGCAGAATTTTTCAAAGCCTTGGCTAACATAGGCCGGTCCATTATCGGTCTTAATTTGTTTGGGGACTCCTATATAGGCAAAGGCCTGTAAGCAATGGGATTTAACATCTTTTAATTTCTCTCCTGAATGAGCAGAGGCATATATTATATGGGAATAGGTGTCAACAGAAACATGCACATATTGAAGTTTTCCAAAGGATGGGACGTGGGTAACATCCATTTGCCACACATGATTGGGCAATAACCCTCTGGGATTAACCCCTAGGGATGGGACAGAGCAATATTGAGCACAGACTTCACAATTGGTGACAATCTGGGTGGCTTGTTCTCTAGTCACCTTAGCATGCAGTCTTAGAGAAGCTGCATTGAGATGGAACCTTTTATGAAGGTGCACTGCCTGTTCATAAGGGTCCATAGTCAGAGATATGTGCAACACCTGAGTCAGTGCGTCTGCCCGCGCATTACCCTCACTCAGGGGGCCAGGCAAGGAGGTGTGCGCTCTTACATGCCCAACAAATAAGGGATGAGTGCGCTGCCAAATCTGCTGCTGTAATTGTAAAAGAAGAAAATAAACTGAGGAGGTTGGGGCTATATAGGCTGTGGTTTCTAAAGGTAAAATAACATGAGCTACATAGCAGCTGTCTGTGTATACATTCAGGGGCTCATTATGGTAAATTTGAAGGGCAAAAAGAACAGCAGCTATTTCAGCGGCTTGAGCTGATTTGTGGGAGATGGAAACAGCCCGTTCTTCATGTCCAGAAATTACAGCAGCCTTGCCTTTAGCTGACCCATCAGTAAAAACCACACGGGCTCCTAATACGGGTTGTTGTCTAATTATTTTGGGAAAAACAACCGGATGTCTTTTGAAAAACTGTACTAAGGGATGGGAAGAATAATGATTAACTGAGAAGAAACCGTGGCACAAAAGACAGACCAATCATCAATATTATTTTGTAGCCATGTCACCTGTTGGGAATCATAGGGAATGGAGATGAAATCAGGATATTTCCCAAAAATCTGCAGGCTGATCTTGCATGCCTTATACAACAAAGATATAACAGCAGTGGGATAGGATTGCACGATTTGTCCAGTGGATGCTGGGGAGTGGACCCAATATATAGGTCCAGTCTGCCAAAACACTGCTGTAGGCGCGTGATTGGAAGGAAAGACCAACAACCGCATTGGCGCCCTATAATCCACATAACTAACATGAGCATTCTGAATGGCATGCTGGACTAGCTGCAGACATTCCCTGCCTTCTTTGCACAGTTGTCTGGGTGAAGAAGGATCTGGATCACCTTTAAGAATATCAAAAAGGGGCTTAAGTTGCCCAGTAGAAATGTGCAAAATTGGTCGGATCCAATTAATATCACGTAACAAACTCTGCAAATCATTCAAGGTTTTCACATCACTTAATCTGATGGTCAAATTCTGAGGGGTGACACCAGTTGGCAAAAGTTGATGGCCTAAATACTGATAAGGAAAATCTGTCCGAATTTTATCCGGGGCAACAATCAATCCGGCTGTGGCTAAAGCCTGATAAATACATTGTGCTGCTGAGGATAGGATGGAACGGGTTTCAGCCGCGATCAAAAGATCATCCATATAATGAATCAAGTAGATATTTGGAAATTGTGATCTAATTCTTTTTAAGGCCTTATCCACATAGATCTGACAAATAGTAGAACTGTTCACCATCCCCTGAGGGAGGACAACCCAATGGAAACGCTGGGAAGGGGCTTTTAGATTGATGGACGGTAAGGTAAAGGCAAAACGCGGAGCATCTTCCAGGTGCAAGGGAATGGAGAAAAAGCAGTCTTTTAAATCTAACACAAGCATATGCCAATCTTTTGGTATTCCCATAGGAGATGGCAAACCAGGTTGCGTGGCCCCCATAGGGGCCATGACAGCATTTACTGCACGTAAATCTTGCAAAAGCCTCCAGTTGCCATTTTTCTTTTTAATAGCGAAGATTGGGGTGTTCCAAGGAGAGGTGGATGGAACAGTATGTCCAGCCTCAAGCTGCTCCTTTACCAATTCAATCGCAGCCTCTAATTTTTTGCTTGAAAGGGGCCATTGTTCAACCCAAACAGGTTTATCTGTTTTCCATGTTAATTTAATGGGCTCCTCTAACTGACGAGGCTGCTCTACAATGGCCCCTGCAAAAAATGTCCTAACCCTGTTCTATCCCCTGGGCTACAAACTTCAATCTCTTTATCACAGACTGGTTGGGGGTCACCTTGAAGATGTCTGCCCAAGCCCTTTCCAGGAAAGTATCCTTGT